TGGGAATGGGGATTTCTAGAGGTAACAAGTGGAATTTTTGCTTTAAATAGCACCTTTAACAATGTCTTGGAGGAATTAAAAAAAAAAAAGACTTTTTATTCTATGTATGCACAGTACTTAGCACAATGAGGACCTGGTTCACAGCTGGTTCCTGACCAACAGTAATGCAAACAGTGTTAAATAACATCAAGCAGAGGAAGAAGTTGTCTAAGCTGGTTAAAAGAAACATAAATAAGTTCAGAATTATCAAACTGAGCCAAGGAAATTTTAAGCCTAAATAATTACTAATGGTAGAATTAGGCTGAGGCGTCCGGTAGTTACCCAAGAGAAATGGTGGAAATGCTGTTGCTTAGAACGTTTGAAAGTAGACTGGAAAGACAGTGAAGAATGTCTTATTATCCCAAACCATTCTGCAGTAGACTGAAAATGAGTTGGACAATTTTTCAGAAATTGCTACTATTCTAAGATAAAATAGCATTAGGCCCTCATGCTGCAGAGCATGACACAGGGGCAGATGACTGTGTAGATAGTCATTGCAGCTCCTGGGGGGTGGAAATCTGCCCATATGTTATCGATATCAAGACCAGTGTTTAAGAACGTAACTATATCAGATGTAAGTGAGAAAATTCAAATGTTAGATGGTTTACTTATACCCTTGTGCATGAATATTACAAATGTCCCATAGCAGCTTGTGAACTTCAGTAACAGATGTGCCGTCATATTTTTGAATTTCATTGGTTTTGTTAGCTCAAGTTATAACCTTGATATTGTGTTAATATGAATAACCTATTGGATTTACATTTACATTGAGCTAATGAGATTTTCAGAGAAGGAATGTTTATATTGGATTTAAGGGAAATAAGGGTTGGGAATAGGGGAATACAATAGAGAACATTATTAAAGAATAGTCACTAGTAGTTTAAATTTCCTTTTAAACATTGTTAAATAGCCTTGGCTTACCTGTGCTAAACTAACAGCATTATTAGAAAACGATGATACAAATTGCTTAGTTTCTTCAGAACAATGCATGTTGTGAATAATATTACTGCCAAAAATTGTTTCCTAAAACATCTATATGGTTCAGGATTTTGACATTGTGATAATGATGCGTTAACAAGGAGTATTAGGAAGGGCTATTGTAAGTGAGCAGATGGCACTTACTTGAAATTTAAAATTCATTGTAAAGTGTCTCTTGGGCAGCTTTGTCAATATGTATAATGACTGAGCTAAACCAAATGCAAATTGGCACTAAAAGTTCTGTGAAATGTCTGTGTGCATACTGTAGAAGCAGACATTCTGACACTTTGCAGTATTTGTTTGCAGCTGTCTCAGCTCCTTGTATCAGAACAACTTACCTGTGTTTGTTTCTGTTTACCTTGGAGTGGCCTTAGAGGATTCTCTGCTGTAGACCAGAAAAATAATGGGCTACTTTCACAGTCTATTTACTAATAGACATCTGGTCCAATAAGAGCACCGAACAAGTCCCTAAACAGTAGTCGGTTCTCTCCAACATTAATGAAGCTGATTCTGTACGTGATTGAAATCTCATTTTAACAAGTACTCTGCTTTAGCACCTTACAATTTACAAGTGGATTGTTTTTCTTAATGACGAGCAGTAGGCCAATGCATTAGCATTACCATTGTAACACTAAACTACTACATTAGCTTATTGTCACATCTCCCCTTTTAACATGCTTTTTGTTTTTCTAGGATGCTGGGACAATATTAGGGAGTTAGATACCCACCAAAATAAAGTCTAATGTTGCATATAGCTTAATGATATGCATATGCTGAAAAAATATTATCTGTATATGGGGCTACTCGAGGTTTAGTATAGAGACCTGGACTGCAGTATATTCAATATGCTGACACCTAGCTCTAGGTTTCAATCACACAACTCCAGCTGGAACAGTGGAATAAATTAGCCAGTGCCTATTTTAGAGGTAGCTGAGAGGGACTCAGAGAAGACTAAGAAAACGTTGGCGTGCTAGGGAAAGCAGCCTAAAGAGATGGTGGAAACTTCTGTCAGCACTGCTCACTGTGGCAGTGGGACTAATGCTTGTAAAACAGATATTCAGGCTGTCACATCCTGAGTTGCTGTGGGACACTGAGGGCACCTATACGTGTGCAGTGAGGCTGCTCTGATGTGCTGTTGTTAATCAACTCTGCTGGAGTGTGGTAATTACTGCGCTCCAGCATCTCTTGTATTAGCATCCCTGCACTGAAAAATGGTGGTGGGTGTGCTTTAACTAAAGCTTCTTCAACGCGTGTTACTTAAAGCACCCCTACCACCATTTTTTCAGCATGGGGACGCTGATACACAAGACTCTCCCAGTGCATTAATTAGAGTGGCTCTCAGAGCTGCTCTAATTAAAGCACCTGCCCCCCAGCTCCTGGAGCAAGTGTATAACTGCTCTTAGGTAGCAGCTGTAGCAAAAAGTAATTCCCCACCCCATCACAGCCTGACAAGTGAAAATGCCATCTTTTCAGTGTAAACCTTGCCACAATTACCAATTCCTTTGTCCCTCTGAGACTTCTGTAATTAGCTCTACATGATTCAGAAGTTGAAGTTAGTGTAAAGGCCACAGCCTGTTGCCTGTTAAGCAGAATCGTGAATTGAGAAGCCTTTAGACTGGAGTTCTGTGGTCTATGCCAGCTTCCCTTCTAAATGAAATTGAGACTGTTTGTAACCTCCAAAGCCCTCAATGGTTTTGGACCCAGCTGTCTGTGACTTTGCTCTCGTCCCTATAATATTCTTACATCGTTGAGATTAAAGTAGACCCCTGAGTCAGCTCCCTCGAGATGGGGAGAGGAAGTTAATAGCTCAGCCCTTCTACCCATGAGGATGGGAGCGAGGAGCCCACATATATACATATTCAAAAACACTGGGTTTGAAATAAATATGTCTGGGTACCCATTGACTTAATTCATCCAAGTTTGATGCATTTTATGGTTTTTGAAACTGCTGCAAGTTTTAGCACAGTTTCTCTATAAATGCACATTGAAGTACACTTTTGTAACTACTTGTTACAGAGACGTGTATGTGACAGTCACTTCTGCCAATTTGGTCTTTGTAGAGAAGGGTACAGAAATCTTAAGGAGCAAGAATGACCATAGCTGTTATTACTCAGGCCCTGAATCTGCTGATGAAGTTGCATTAATGTTACTGGTTGTCTCTCTTCCGCTCTGCAACAAAGATGATCTGGGAAACAGTAAACTGTGCTTTTGGCTTGCAGGCATGGTAGTTATTCACCTCCTTCCCCCCTGCCGCCCAAAAGCAACAAACTGCTTGCTAGATATGGTTTGTATGTGTATTATCCATAAGAATTTACTAATTGCTTTATTCATTTGCTTTTAGATAACGTAAGTGTTTGCAGTTTTATATACTAAGTGCTAGGGAGAGTCAAGGAATACTTCAACTACTTAGGGAACATTTATCATTTTATCCTAGGTGAACAGGCAGATCTCTCTGGTATGAGTGTGTTACTGAAGTCAGACTACAGATTATACCACATACCAATAGGAAAGCAAACTGGGAGGGAAACTGATTTGCCAAAGTTCAGATCAGCATGAAAAATAGAGCCATGGTTTCTTTCATTGTCTGGAGTTGTACTTGAACTGGGTCTTGAGTTTGGCTCTGACCTACATGGTGTGTGTGTGTGTGTGTGTGTGTGTGTGTGTGTGTGTGTGTGTGTGTGTGTGTACACACCTACATAGGTGTATATATATGTAATATACTGTAAAAAATTGCCATTCTACAGTAATTCAGTAAAGGGCAGAATCTTTTTTCCTTTCTCCCATTTAATTCTCTTATTCTTTCCTTTCCTGTTCTTGCGTCTCTAAAATTTCTGAAGTATGTGAAGTCTACATTTGTTATTCCAGCCTATAGTGACTCTATGAGCTGAATTTCCCCACTTCTTGAATACACAGGTAGGATTTACCATTATGGGGGACTATACCTTAAGTTAGATGAGGCAGGAGTTAAGATGATCTATTTTGAGTCCGATTCTGAGGGGGTATATACTGGAATTGAAAGGGAGTTTGTTATGGAGTTGAGTCTCTTTTTGACAGGGTATTGTGCTGCTGCTTTTAAGTGCGACTTTATTTTTATGGATTGCATTCACACAAAGTGAACGAGGCAGCCTTAAAATGGACATTAATGAAGTGTATGCATGTAGTACATTAAATAAGATATCAGTACTTGCGTCTTGCTTTAAAATCACTCTACAGGAAAAGTTATGTTAAAAACGCCTTTCTTAGAAAGCAATACCTCACTAGCCAAAGAAACTGCAAAAAACCTGCCTTCAGAGTTTATTGCTTTTCTTAGGGGTGTAGGTTGTAGCCATGTTGGTTTAAGGACATAAGCAGACAAGCTTCTTTGGGTAAATTGTTATCTTGTATTAGACCAACTAAATAATTGGAAAACATTTTTCTTAGCAAGCTTTTGGGTTTAAAAACCTGATGAAGGGTTTTTACATGCAAAAGCTAGCTAAGCAAAAATTTTCCAACTATTTAGTTGGTCTAATAAAAGATATCAGATTTACCCAAAGAACCTTGACTTGCTTTTCTTATTCACTTATTCCCTGAAGGAGAGGAAGTTCTTTTATTTTGGCTTTTGTTAATTCCTACCCAGATGGTAACCTCTAGGTCCTTTAACTCTTAAACTTTGTATCTTACCTACAAGTTAGTTTCTAAAACAAGAAAATTCCTGAAATTCATAACAATGCTGAAGGTTTGTTCCTCTTTTACATATTGTGCTGTCTTGGATCTAGTTCCTATTTTCCTCGCCTTGCTGAATTCAGGTGAAGTGATAAAGTCCTTTAATTTTGCTTCTCCAGTCAGTCAAACACCTTAGATTTTGACTAGTATTTCAGATTTCATTTGGCAGGTTTCCTGGATTATCCGTCTGTAACTGTTGGAGTGAAATACATGGGTACTTTGATCCTGACCTCTTAACAATTTAACAAGTAATATGCTCTCTGTCTGTTTTGTTTTTATAGTCGGTCAAAAACTACACCAAATGTCATGTGAGAAATGAACAGATCTGTAACAAGTTGACAAGCTGTAAAAGTTGTTCTCTGAATCTGAACTGCCAGTGGGATCCGCGGCAGCAAGAATGCCAGGCCTTACCAGGTACAAGCTTTGACATTTGAATTCTGCTTTTCGTTATTGGCTTTAAAACTGAGCTAAAAATGACCCACAGAGTTGAAGGCTGGCTGAAGCAGAACGGTCTATTGGGGTAGGGCAGGGCTATCCCACTTCTGAGTGGCTGGGGGTCACATGGCCTCTCCGGCCACACACTGCCATGTGGGCCCCTACCGTGCTGTGCAGGACACTCCTGCCAGCCCCCCCCGCCCCCCCCCACACCGAGTCCCTGGGTTCCCCAAAGGTCCCTGGCTTCAGGCTCCTTCAGGGGTGGGGAGGAGCAGAGGAAGCTGGGCAGGGAGCAGGAGCCTGGAGCCCTGACCAGCAGCAGCAGGGGGGAGTTGCATCTTGGCTTAGAGCCTGGGGGCTGCAATGTAACCCCTAAGGTGCCAGATGCAGTCTGCTACTTAGACAGCCCGGTGCTAGGACATAGGCCAGTTTTTATGGCCAGCAATGCACAATAGAAGAGAAAAAGCCTTGAATTTCATACAGCCACTTTTGACTGCCCACCACCTACTGACCATGCATCCATTTACACCTGGGGTGACTGCATCTAGCCTTGTTCTGTTACCATGTTTCAGCCTTTAGCGCTGGGGGAAATCCCCCAAATCATTTTCCATGAATGTTTACACAGAAATAAAAATCAGGTTTCTTTTGATATTATTTATTCCTGCTACAGCTGAGTTTGCACAACAGTTGTTAAGTATGGTTGAACTACAGATTTAGCATACTTGTGATACTTTTAGTTTGGCTTGCACAAGTAGCTGCAAGAGAAGACTTGGCCACATCGGGCATTTTTACACATGCTCCGGGAGGGTGGGGGGGAGGCACTTTAGTTAGAGCAGCTCCAAACTCTGGCACAAACTGTTCCACAGTTTGTGTCACCTTAACAGCACATGTAGATGCACCCAGTGTCTTCACTGCTGCTATCATATTAATTAGATTAAAACAAATGTGGGTATGTCTCTCTGGGATGCAGTCATTTTTCTGTAGAGATGTGCCCTAAGATCTGCTTTCCAGGGACAATTTGGTCATTGAATTTACTCACAAGAATTTTGTGAAGACAGTGAAGTGAAGATGCTAATATAGTACATCCCCAGAGAACAAATTTAGTCCTTCTAAACCCAAGTATTTATGCTGTAATTTAAATTCTAAGCGTTATGCAGATCTACTCAGGGAACAGAAACAATGCCTTAGTGTCCAATGTGTTCAGACAAAGCTAATGAACACAATTTTCTAATACCAGACACGCTACTAAGTAATCTACAGGCAATTATTTTTGCAGAAACCATTCAGTAAATAATTTAAATTAATGAATACATTTTTAGAAAATCATGAAATGTTTGTGGACACCGTGAAGAGACTAATAAATTACATCGATTGCTATGGATTATTTGCTTATCTTTAATACTTATCTGCATGTGACTAACACTCAACATATATTAATGATAAGATTAAGAACATAATGCACTGCTTTTTTAAGTTATCAGAAATTTGTCTTCAAGACTCTTGGTATTATGGATATTTGCACACGTGCTTGCGCCTCAGCGCTGGGCACTTTTAAAAGCACCTGGCACTGCAGCACATACATTTGTATAAACGGCAAAATGCACATCAGCGCTGAGAAAATGGCAGGAGTGTGCTTGTGAACTAAAACACATTGAAGGTGTTTTAGTCCAAAAGTGCACTGCTGCCATCTCTGTTTATACAAATGTATGTGATGCAGCGCCAGGTGCGTCAGGTTGCATGCTCCGCGGACTTGATTAATTGAGTCTGTTCCAACGCACCAGATCTCCAGCACGTTGGAGCAAACAAATGTATATGTATAAATGCCCCATCTGTTTAGCAGTCATGCTGGTTTAAAGTGATTATTATAATTAGATGAAATATAACAAAACAGAAAATTCACGTTTGTATGTTATGGCTCTCATAACTTTGCCCTCATATTTTTAAGTAGGATTTAGGTAAGATCTAATCTGCTTTTTCTTGAAGTATCTATCCCCCTGGCACCTAGCTATATTTAAGGCCCCTGGCAGACATTATGCTTAAAACATGATTAACCAGTTAATCTCATCTGAAGTCATGACCCAGCCACACATTCATTTAATTAATTGTGTGATAAAAGGAGGAAGATGCCACCAAGTTATTCCACCAAAAAAGTGGAATAACTTTGGTTCATTTATGTCATGCCACTAACTGAACGTGTGGCCAGAGACACCCAAGCAGCTGGGAGCTTCATCAGCTGATTGGGGCTCTCAGCCTGGGGAGCACATCCAATTATGGGGATCCCAGCATTGGGGGTGCCCCATGGGGCCTTGAAGCTGGGAGCCCAGAGCTGATGCAGGCTCCCAGCTGCAAGGCCACCCCAGGCGTCCCTATGGCTGGGAGTCCTGTCAGCTGATGTGGGCTCGCAGCCATGGGGGTGCCCCAGGCATCCCCATTGCTGGGAGGCCATAGCTGGGAACCCATGTCCGCTGACAGGACTCTCTGCTGTGGGGACACCTGGGGCACCCCTATCAACTTGCTATTTACTGATGCAGGAGAAGCCCAGCATCGTGATCCCAGGCTCCCCCTGCACTGGCAATAAGGCATGATGGGATCTGATGCGCAATCCCACAACCATGCCTCCTGCTATTGACCATGTGGCATGGCAAGAAGCACAACTGTGTGGATCATACATCAGATCTCAGTGTGTCTTTATCTGCATGTCTGGAGGGGCCTTTAAGCATTTCTAAATTACAAATGACCAAGGGAAATTAATAGGCTGTAACTGAGAATATACCTTGTTGCAATACTAGTTACTTTGTCTGTTAACAAGAAAATATATTATTTTACATCAACTGACATTTTCAAAGCAAGTTAAAAAGTGTGTTGGGTTTTTTTTTTAAAGTTTGATGAGATTGCATACATGAATTATGATAAAAAGTAAAATAGAGTTATGCTTGCTGTGGCTTGGAGAAAAAATGCCAATATGCATTTCTCTTATTTTCTTTTACATAATTGTATTTAATAATGCAAATTCTGTCCTAGCTCATCTGTGTGGGGAAGGATGGAGTCACATTGGAGATGCCTGCCTCCGCATAAATTCTAGTCGTGAAAGCTATGACAATGCCAAACTTTATTGTTACAATTTAAGTGGGAATCTTGCCTCATTAACAACATCAAAAGAAGTGGAATTTGTTTTGGATGAAATACAGAAGTATACACTTCAGGTAACCTGAGTAACTTTAATTCATATTCATGTTTTGAAACAAGTGGCATGGAACCTATTTTAATAGCTTGTTTATAGTATCAGTGTTCAACCTTTGGTCCATGGACCAGATCTGGCTCAGGGATGGATGTCATCTGACCTGTGGTGCTCTCCATGGATCCAGAAACTTGATGCGCGGGAGTGGAGGCAATTCACACTGCCACTGCTCCCTCAATGTCAAATTTACAAGCCCTATGAACCAAGTTACATGAGGCTTGCATGTAAGGCTAGGAATGCAAGTGCAATCTGGCATGAGGCCTGATCTGGTGCCTGGGGCCAGGACTGCAGCCAGGGTCCAATCTGGCGTGTGGGGTCGAGACCACGCACCAAGCTGGCCCTGCATGCTGGATTTGGTCCACAGATTGTTCCTTCACCACTCACCCCCTTTTCCAGACCATTTTTGAATAAGTTAAACAGTGCTTGTCCCAGCACAGATCTCTTGGGGACCCTGATGTTTTTCTAATTTCCTTCCTGAAAACTGACCATTTATACTTACTCTTTGTTTTCTGTCCTTAAGTGAATTTCTAATCCCCGAGTGGACCTTTTCTGTAGTCCCATGACTAACTAATTTCATTAAGTGTAAGGGAAGAAATGGTTGAGTATGTGAAAGTGGAAGTTAACTTAGGTGACACTTGGGCACATATACACAACATACTTACTGCACATTAGCTTAATAACACTGTGCGGTAGTGTCACAGTAAAAACCATGCTAATAGTCTACTGTGCAGTGTTATTAGGCCAGTGTGCAGTAAGCATCAGTAAATAACCGTGCGCTGGTGCTACTGTGCTTTAGGTATGCACATGTAGTTAGTACTTTATTAAGGAAGTACTAAACTAAATGCACAGTATTTAAGATGCATTCATGAACATGTGGACACGCTCAGTGACCATGAAATGATAAGAGTTCAAGATCCTAAGAGGAGGAAGGAAGGAGAGCAGCAGAATAAGGAGAATGGAATTCAGAAAAGCAGACTTTAAGAAACACATGGCACCGGTGTGCAGAGTCCCCTGGGAAGCAAATCTGAGGGGTAAGGAGACCAGGAGAGCTGGCTGTACTGTGAGGAAGCCCCTTTAAGGGTGCAGGAGCAAGTTGTCCTGATGCAACTGGAGAATGGGAAACGCAGCAGTAGACCTTCCTGGTTAGAGAGATGTCTCTTCAATGAGCTGAAACTCAAAAAGGAATCCTCCAAAAAGTGGAGCCTTGGCTATAGTAGGATGGAAGAGTATCACATTGGCATGCAGGGAGAAAATTAGAAGGGCAGCTACCACATATGGTATGATATCTGATATCTTCAGCGTGCCCTCCTGATTAGGCGAATTAGATGGCAGCTACCAGTTCAGTTATCAGGAAAAATAAGATAGGAGCGAAAGAGCTTATAGTCAAATGGGTTGGGGATTACCCAGAGAAGCTAGATGCTTTCAAGTTAGCAGGACCAGATGGGATGCAGCCTAGGCCGGGTCCACACAAGCAGGGCCATGCCTTTGCAGCAGCACAAATGTGCCACTACTTTGTGCCTCAGTGCATGTCCCTGCCCGTGCTTTACAGCGCGGCACATTGCTTCGGTGCTCCACGTGCTGCAGGGGGTTGGTGGCTGGGGCACAGGGTGCTTCAGCAGGGGCTAGCAATCCCATGCTGAGGCACCCTGTGCCCCAGACAGCTGCTCCCTGCCTGGCTGGGGTGCAGTGTGCCTCAAGACAGGGGAGCAGGCAACCTTGGGCTGGCTGCTCCCCTGGCTCCATGTGCCTCAGCTTGGAGGCTCCATGTGCTGCAGTGTGGGGGCTCTGCATTGGAGACAGGGGAGCAACCAGCCCAAGGTTGCCTGCTCCCCCAGCTCAAGGATGCCTGCTCCCCCATCTTGAGGCACCCTGTACCCTGGCCAGGGAGGAAGCAGCTGGCTGGGGTGCAGAGTGCCTCAGCACGTGGGCTCCACAGCATGCGGAGATGGGAGAGCAGCACGTGGAGATGACTGCTCCCCCAGCCCAGCTCTGTGTTTATCCCAGCACTGGCCACTTTGGTGTGGTTTGTGCTGCTTTTTTCCAGGTGGTTTTTTTTGTTTTTCTACTAGGAAATCCCGGTAGCAAATTTTGCCCCAGCACTGAAAATTAGCAGCTCTGCGCACTGAGTAATGTGCAACTCGTGCAGTTTGTGGCACTGCAAAGAGGTTTGCAGTGTCACAGACCACACATGCCTGTACATCTGGATCCAGCCCTAGGATACTGAAGAACTTGGCTGGTACAATTTCAGAGCCATTAGTTATCCTCTGTGAGAACTTGTGGAGGTTGGGTGAGGTCCCAGATGAATGGAAAAAGGGTAAATATAGTTCCCATCTTTAAGACAGATACATGAAAAGCAAGTTGTGCCTGACCAACTTGATTTCCTTCTATGATAAGGTGGCAGGTTCTGTGGATGAAGGGAGAGCAGTGGATGTGATGAACCTTGAATTGAGCAATGCTTTTGACACCGTCTCCCACAACATTTTTTAACAAGTTAAGGAAATATGGACTAGACAAAAGTACTGCAAGGTGGATACATAACTGTTTGGATCATCATGCTCAATGAGTAGTCATTAGTGGCTCAATGTTTAGTTGGGAGTAGGTATCAAGTGGGGTTCCCCAGGGATCTGTCCTGGGTCTGGTACTGTTCAACATTTTCATTAATGATTTGGAGGATGGGATTGAATATATGCTGAGCAAATTTGCAGGTGACACCAAGTTGGGTGGAGCTGCAGACACTCTGAAGGGCAGGGCTAGGATTCTGAATGAGCTGGATAGACTGGTCTGCAATCAATGAAGAGAAATGCACCTAGAAATGGAATAATTACATGCACAAATACCGACTGAGGAATGATTGGCTGGACTGTAATGCTGCAGAGAATGACCTGGGGATTACAGTGGACCATAAACTGAATATGAGACAGTGTGGTCTTGTTGCCAAAAAAAAAACAAAAAACCAAAGGAAATGAAAAAGGCAATAGCATACTGGGTTGTATTAGTAAGAGTGCTACTTGAAAGTCAAAGTATGCGATTCTTCTGCTCTATTTAGCACTGGTGAGGCCTCATCTGGAGTACTTTGTCCAATTTTGGACCCCACATTTCAAGAAGGATGTGCACAGATGGAAAGAATGCAGTGGAGAGTGACCAAAATGATTAGGGGCTTGGGAGACAAGACTGTGGGTGGGGACAGACTGAAAGAACTAGGGTTATGTAGTCTGAAGAAGAGAAGGCTCCGGGGGATTTGACAGCAATCTTCAAGTACCTGAATGCAACTATAGGGAAGAAGTCAGGCATTCTTAAGAGTACAGTGTCAAGAACTTACTTCAAATGATAAATTAGCATTGCTGATGTCCCCAATTGGGGCAAGATTGAATAGGTGTTGGTACAGCAACCACTGTCTTCAGGTTTCCTGATTTCTGGTCAATACCAGTACTTTTACTACCAATACATATAGTAGTTGATGATTTTTTAAATGTATGAGGACAATATGTCCTTGTTGGAATTGTTAGAGCTGCCTGCTGCCTTTGATGTGCTTGATAATGAGATGCATTTGTCATGACTACCGACGTAGGTGTAACAGCCTTCGCAAAGCTTGTTTGAAGCATCTGGGAAGCCCCAGAGTGATTTCGGGTGCTTCTCTGTGGGGTTTCATAGAGTTCTGTGTATCTGTAGGTTCAGTGTGTGCAGGCAAGGTTATCAGGAGCAGCCAGCATCGATTCACCAAGAGCAAGTCATGTCTGACCAAAGAGTGACATGAAAGGCAACAATTTCTGTACATCTGGATGAACTTAAATCCAGTTGTTTTTCTCTTGTAGCCAGTCTTTCTAACACAACTGGAATAGATTGCTCTTTGAGATTGGGGTTGGGTGAGACCTATTTTGGAGAAAAAATTGGGAGAACACAAAAGGATAGCAGCAATCTGGAGGAAGTTGCCAGAAGAAATTAATAGTTGCTTAATAGCATGTGCCCATTCTGTGCAAAATAGTGCTGCATGTAAGGTTTTCTACAGACCTTTGGCTGCTGCTGAATGGTCAAATTGTGGATGTAGTATAGTAGAGTAAGTCTGTTCATCTGTCTTTATTAACTCAAGTGTGCCAGTTTGTTGCTGTTACACTTATTTAAGCCCTTGTCTCCTTGAAATTAATGTGCTCTAATCTGCTTTATTTAAGGGGCTGTGCGTGGGACCATTTGTAAGATGAAATTAATAAAAAAATGTGCATATATTAAGACTGTGGTAACATTGGGAGCCCATAATGTTAGTGCTTAAATACACTGGCAGTTTATCTGCTGCGAGTGGTCACTCAATCTGCTGTTTTATTGAAGCCTTTAAAGCCCTACATATTACTATATGTATCCTCTTGCAAAGATACCTACAGTTTTGATCTGCATTGGTTCTTGAAATTGGGCTCATCTGATGTGAGGCTACCCACTGGTTGTCTTTAGGAGGTGGGGATACCACATGAGAAAGCAGATGGGATGAGGTCGGTTGCAGACTCTGCGCTAATTTTTTATTTGCAGTACCCTTTAATTTGGGTAGGAATGAATTATTATTTAGGAGTGCTGACCTGTTGATCTTTGGTAGTGTAGTCTAACTGTTGATTACTTTGCTGTTTTTAACATTAAATTTATGAACATAATAAAAATAGATTTCTGGCATGTGGGGCTAAGGTGTGGGTGGGTGGGACATATCCCCTCTTATGTGCCTTTTCTACAAGCTGCACATGCCTAGCTCCTTCAGCTTCTTTTCATATGACTTGCCTTCTAAGCCCTTGATGATTTTTGTTGCCCACCTCTGGACTCTCCCTAACTTGCGTGTATGTTTTATATATTACATTTTTATATATATAAAAAAAAGCTTTTATATACAAGATTAAAATCTTAGAGCACTAGCGATAATCCATGCAAATATAAGGCTTCTTATAAACAAACAAGACATTAAAATAGTAAGAATAATATAAAGTTTCTGAG